AGATTCAATAAAGGTTGAGCAATTGTTCATATAACTCATAAAATGGTCAAGATAGTGCCATATGGGGGGGGGGGAATTTGGCATGTTGCATTTGTCAAATCGTCGGAATGAGCTTGGTGACCTCAACATTTATGTCTGTTTTTATTATGAGGATATCATAAACTTCACCCCTGGGAAGTTTCCGCAAATTCTCATTCCCAGAACAATATTGATGAATCACCTAGAATCTTATTTTTATAATGTCCTTTAGATGAGTGCAAAGATTTGATGTTGATTGAGAAAAACCAGTTGGCTTCTGCAGCATGGAAGCTCACAGGTGAAGATGAGAAGCAAGTGTTCAAGAGTTCATCAGATGACCTTGAAACATGGCTGTTGGCAAAAACATGAAGCACAGCGAGGAGGAAAAACCTTTAATTTTCCCCGTTTATACCGAAGCAGAAGAAAGGTTTTGGTTATTCTATGCTATCACTAAGCCAACTTAAATACGGCAAACAGGACCACTTACAAAGATTGCTGGTTGGACCTTAGTCCTACTAACTGAAGGTTACAAAGTCCTGCATTCCAAACAAGTGACTTTACTGGGGAAAAACATTCGTACAATGCAATGGTCCCATGTATTTCACACTGACTGAAACCTTAGGCCAGGCAAGTTACAACCTTCCACTAGGAAATAGGCAAGCCATTGAAAAAGCTCCTGGAATGCTTAGTTAAGTAGCTTAAGTTTGGAGTAGTAATGTAAATAGATTTTCCTATACACTGTAAAAAATTGTACAATATACGTTTTATTGTAGTCGCTTATTTATATCTATTTTCTAAAGTTCAAACTTTGGAAGGACCTAATAGTAATAGTGATCTAGCAAACTTTGACATTTGTCTAGGCATTTAATATATGATCTAACATTCTTTAACATTGATTTAGGAATGTCATATATCCATGATCTATTAATCCAAAACTCTTTAATTTATGCTGATTTTGGTATTTCATATCAATGACAAAAAGATTTCGTTACTTAAAATACACTCTACCACTGGTCTACGTTTTCATTAATACACTAACATCCACTAATACATATTTTCGATAATTACATCACGAGTACGTTATTGGCCTGGGAGCTTCATTCTCATGAATCGTGAGCCAATCGCCTTCCGTCTTGATTGACGAGAGCAAGGCTCCCAGACCAAGAATGTATTCATGACGTATTATCGAAAATGTTATTGTAGTGCTATGTATGTCATATCGTTGATCTAACAACCTTCCAATGGTAATCATGATTGGAGGGTGTTAGATCAATGACATGACATGCGTACATCAGTGTTTAATAGGGGTTGCTAAATCAGTTACGATCAGACATGCCTAGATTACCATTAGAGGGTTTAGATCAACAATAAAACATGCCTATATAACCAGTAGAGTGTGTTAGATCAATGAAATGATATGCGTACATCAGTATTAGGGGTTGCAAAATCAGTTACAATCAGACATGCTCAGATTACCATTGGAGGGTGTTAGGTCAATGGTATGACATGCCTATATTACCATTGGACGGTTGTCAGATCAATGAAATGACATACGTAGATCAGTGGTAGGGGTTGCTAAATCAGTTACGATCAGACATGCTTAGATTACCATTGGAAGGTGTTAGATCAATGGTATGACATGCCTATATTAACATTGGAGGGTTGTTAGATCAATGAAATGACATACGTAGATCAGTGTTTGGGATTGCTAAATCAATTATGATCAGCCATGTCTAGATTACCTTTGGAGGGTGTTAGATCAATAATAAGACATGCCTATATTACCAGTTGGGGGTGTTAGATCAATGAAATGACATGCGTAGATCAGTGTTTGGGGTTGCTAAATCAATTATGATCAGACGTGCATAGATTAGCATTAGAAGGTGTTAGATCAATAATAAGACATGCCTATATTACCATTGGAGGGTGTTAGATCAATGATATGACATGCCTAGATTACCATTGGAGGGTTGTTAGATCAATGACATGGCAAACGTAGATCAGTGATAGGGATTGCTAAATCAATTACGGTCAGACATGCCTAGATTACCATTGGAGAGTGTAAGATCAATAATAAGACAGGCCTAGATTACCATATCAATAACATGACCTGACATCCGTACATCAGTGTTTAATAGGGGTTGCTAAATCAGTTATGATCAGACATGCCTAGATTACCATTAGAGAGTGTTACATCAATAATACGACATGCCTAGTTACCAGTAGAGGGTGTTAGATCAATGAAATGACATGCGTAGATCGATGTTAGGGATTGCTAAATCAATTATGATCAGACATGCCTAGATTACCATTAGAGGGTGTTAGATCAATAATAAGACATGCCTAGATTACCATTGCAGGGTGTTAGATCAATGAAATGACATGTGTACATCAGTGTTTAATAGGGGTTGCAAAATCAGTTATGATCAGACATGCCTAGATTACAAACGGAGGGTGTTAGATAAATAATAAGACATGCGTATATTACCAGTAGAGGGTGTTAGATCAATTAAATGATATGCGTACATCAGTGTTAGGGGTTGCTAAATCAGTTACGATCAGACATGCCTAGATTACCATTGGAGGGTGTTAGATAAATAATAAGACATGCCTATATTACCATTGGAGGGATGTCAGATCAATGAAATGACATACGTAGATCAGTGTTAGGGGTTGCTAAATCAGTTACGATCAGACATGCTTAGATTACCATTGGAGGGTGTTAGATCAATGGTATGACATGCCTATATTACCATTGGAGGGTTGTTAGATCAATGAAATGACATACGTAGATCAGTGTTAGGGGTTGCTAAATCAATTATGATCAGACATGCCTAGATTAGCATTAGAGGGTGTTAGATCAATAATAAGACATGCCTAGATTACCATTGGAGGGTGTTAGATCAATGATATGACATGCCTAGATTACCATTGGAGGGTGTAAGATCAATAATAAGACATGCCTAAATTACCATATCAATGACATGACATGACATGCGTACATCAGTGTTTAATAGGGGTTGCTAAATCAGTTATGATCAGACATGCCTAGATTACCATTAGAGGGTGTTACATCAATAATAAGACATGCCTAGCTTACCAGTAGAGGGTGTTAGATCAATGGAATGACATGCGTAGATCAGTGTTTGGGGTTGCTAAATCAATTATGATCAGACATGCCTAGATTAGCATTAGAGGGTGTTAGATCAATAATAAGACATGACTAGATTACCATTGGAGGGTGTTAGATCCATATCACATGCCTAGATTACCATTGGAGGGTTGTTAGATCAATGACATGGCATACGTAGATCAGTGATAGGGATTGCTAAATCAATTATGATCAGACATGCCTAGATTACCATCGGAGGGTGTAAGATCAATAATAAGACATGCCTAGATTACCATATCAATGACATGACATGCGTACATCAGTGTTTAATAGGGGTTGCTAAATCAGTCAATGATCAGACATGCGTAGATTATCATTAGAGGGTGTTAGATCAATAATAAGACATGCCTATATTACCAGTAAAGGGTGTTAGATCAATTAAACGACATGCGTACATCAGTGTTTGGGGTTGCTAAACCAGTTACGATCAGACATGCCTAGATTACCATTAGAGGGTGTTAGATCAATAATAAAACATGCCTATATAACCAGTAGAGGGTGTTAGACCAATGAAATGACATGCGTACATCAGTGTTAGGGGTTGCAAAATCAGTTACGATCAGACATGCTCAGATTACCATTAGAGGGTTTTAGATATAATAAGACATGCCTATATTACCAGTAGAGGGTGTCAGATCAATGAAATGACATGCGTAGATCAGTGTTTGGGGTTGCTAAATCAATTATGATCAGACATGCCTAGATTACCATTAGAGGGTGTTAGATCAATAATAAGACATGCCTAGATTACCATTGCAGGGTGTTAGATCAATGAAATGACATGTGTACATCAGTGTTTAATAGGGGTTGCTAAATCTGTTATGATCAGACATGCCTAGATTACAAACGGAGGGTGTTAGATAAATAATAAGACATGCGTATATTACCAGTAGAGGGTGTTAGATCAATTAAATGATATGCGTACATCAGTGTTAGGGGTTGCTAAATCAGTTACGATCAGACATGCCTAGATTACCATTGGAGCGTGTTAGATAAATAATAAGACATGCCTATATTACCATTGGAGGGTTGTCAGATCAATGAAATGACATACGTAGATCAGTCTTAGGGGTTGCTAAATCAGTTACCATCAGACATGCTTAGATTACCATTGGAGGGTGCTAGATCAATCTAACACCCTCTACTGGTAATATAGGCATGTCTTATTATTTATCTAACACCCTCCAATGGTAATCTAGGCATGTCTGATATAACAACCTCTAATGGTAATCTAGGCATGTCTGATCATAACTGATTTAGCAACCCCTATTACACACTGATGTACGCATGTCATGTCATTGATCTAACACCCTCCAATCATGATCAGATATGCCTAGATTACCACTGGAAGGTTGTTAGATCAACGATATGACATACATAGGAGTACAATAACATTTTCGATAATACGTCATGAATACATTCTTGGTCTGGGAGCCTTGCTCTCGTCAATCTAGACGGAAGGCGATTGGCTGACGATTCATGAGAATGAAGCTCCCAGGCCAATAACGTACTCGTGATGTAATTATCGAAAATATGTATTAGTGGCTGTTAGTGTATTGATGAAAACGTAGACCAGTGGTAGAGAGTATTTTAAGTAACGAAAGCTTTTTCTCTTTGATATGAAATACCAAAATCAGCATAAATTAAAGAGTTTTGAATTAATAGATCATGGATATGACATTCCTAAATCAATGTTAAGGAATGTTAGATCATATATTAAATGCCTAGACAAATGTCAAAGTTTGCTAGATCACTATTACTATTAGGTCCTTCCAAAGTTTGAACTTTAGAAAATAGATATAAATAAGCGACTACAATAAAACGTATATTGTACAATTTTTTACAGTGTATAGGAAAATCTATTTACATTACTACTCCAAACTTAAGCTACTTAACTAAGCATTCCAGGAGCTTTTTTAATGGCTTGCCTATTTCCTAGTGGAAGGTTGTAACTTGTCTGGCCTAAGGTTTCAGTCAGTGTGAAATACATGGGACCATGCATTGTACGAGTGTTTTTCCCCAGTAAAGTCACTTGTTTGGAATGCAGGACTTTGTAACCTTCAGTTAGTAGGACTAAGGTCCAACCAGCAATCTTTGTAAGTGGTCCTGTTTGCCGTATTTAAGTTGGCTTAGTGATAGCATAGAATAACCAAAACCTTTCTTCTGCTTCGGTATAAACGGGGCCAACGGGCAAAATTAAAGGTTTTTCCTCCTGGCTGTGCTTCATGTTTTTGCCAACAGCCATGATTCGAGGTCATCTGATGAACTCTTGAACACTTGCTTCTCATCTTCACCTGTGAGCTTCCATGCTGCAGAAGCCAACTGGTTTTTCTCACTCACATCAAATCTTTGCACTCATCTAAAGGACATTATAAAAATAAGATTCTAGGTGATTCATCAATATTGTTCTGGGAATGAGAATTTGCGGAAACTTCCCAGGGGTGAAGTTTATGATATCCTCATAATAAAAACAGATAAAAAAGTTGAGGTCACCATGCTCATTCCGACGATTTGACAAGTGCAACATGCCAAATCCCCCCCCATATGGCACAATCTTGACCCTTTTATGAGTTATATGAACAATTGCTCAACCTTTATTGAATCTTATTAACAAGGATCCTATATATTTATATACAAGAAAACACGGTTTAGCAAAACAAAAAGCATCGACGTGCATTGTCATGGTGGCGACAAAAAAGCACGGTCAGAGACCTTCTTAAAGAAATAAAACATGCAACATGATGTGGTTTAGTGTTAGTTGCACAGGAGCCCTAGCCAGAGTTCTATCATTTTTGAAGATATATTTCCTGAAGCACACAATATCAATGCAGAGTGATTTTCTCTTTGCTCTTACTCTTACTTTATCACTTTGTTATTAGATATGTAGCA